TTATAATACTAATAAAATAATTAAGGATCTTTCAAAGTATCTTGTTTGTTTTGAAAAAAATTACTTCTTATCATAAATTGAACGCCAATTGCATTGAATGTGTTATATTTTTTATCGTATAAAAAATTTTCATAATAATAGTTGCACACAATATTATATATAATGCATTTTTTTTTTTTTATAGATTTGGAGTCCTAGTTTTACTACAAGAAAATGAGAAAATTCCAACAAAAAATACAACAAATATAACGATTTTCTTATGTTGATTTAAGAAAAATCTTGACTTTTGGTTTCTTAAATATATTTTACCTTATTGTGATTGCATAGATTTTTTAAAATGTATTACAAATGAGAAAGGTGATAGATTATGTAAACTATAATTTATAAATTGCAATGATATGTTATTTTGATGGTATATTTTTTTCTATTAACTAAATAATGCTCTCAATATGAAATTATTTTAGATTTATCACTGCAATTATCTTTCTAATGGAACTTCTGTTGAATTTTTGCATAATACTAATGACAATTTTTTCAACGATTGAAATATGGTCCAAAAAAAATTCCAATAGAAATTCATGTAATTGAAATCTTTGAATCCACTAAATTTCATGTAATTTAATTTGAACACTAGTGGAATAGCCAATGAAATTTTCCAACGAAAGCAATATATTCGTGGGAATTTTCAGTAGAATACCTTACCGTTGAGTTTTTCATTGCAGTATCGCAATTTTTTGTAGTCCTCTCAAACATTATTTTTAATGTAGTATTTATTGAGTAATTGTTTTTACAGTTTTTCTGTTAAAAATATATTAAACACGTGAACCTTTTAGTTCTTATAATTTTTTTTTCTAGAAATCACTCATTATTTTATCTCAAGATTATCTATTAATTTACCAATTGAGTTACATTTCTTACATATTAAATATTATATAATGAAAATAGTTCTTGTTTTATATGTTCAATATGATACTTATATATTATATTAAAAAAAACTAATATAGTAAATAAAAAATTTATTTAGAATTAGAATAATAAAGATTTTTTTTTTCTAATCTACATGGATAAATGTACAAATTATTATTGTCTTATCATCTCAAATTAACACATAAAATTAATAAGAACAAAAAATTAGCAAGCGTTTAACAACTCAGTTCAATTACATCGATAAATATATTTTTAGAAGGTTTATATTTAGTTATATTAATTATATTATTTTTGTTTATTAGTTTGTTTTATATTTATTAGTATGTGTCACAACTTAGTTATTATTCATATTATTTCTTATAGTTCATATTTTTTTAAAACTTTATCTTTTTCTTTCATATGTTCTTAACTATTGATTTGTCAAAAAAGACATAATATAAAGTATAGAATTTTTTCAATCATCTGTCTCATTATATATCAAATATTTGTATATCCTATATTATATTATATTTAATTACAATTTTTAATTAATATTTTAATTAAATATTTGCAATTTATAAATTCATTAATAATATTGTCGAGTCAACTTTTGTTCATAAAATTTTTAAAAATATATTATTTTCATTGATTTGCTTATGTTGAATTGAGAAAAGTTATGTTTTTGTTTTTTAATTGTAACTGTATTGATGTGTTAACCATGTACTACAGATGAGAAAGATGACAAATTATGAAAAATATAATTTATAAATTATAATGACATTATGTTATTTTAATGGCATACTTTTTCTATTAACCAAATAATGCCTCAAGTATGAAATTATTTTGTATCCACCACTGCAGGTAGATTTCGAATAGAACTTCCATTGAAATTTTTACAATTCCAGTTACATTTTTCCAACTGTTGAAATATGACCCGAAATTTTTTTTAACAAAAATTCACGCAATAATAAGTAATGATAATTTTTGAAATAATTATATTACACAAGAATAAATAATGTAATTTGATCTCTGTTGAAATAGTCAATGCAATTTTACAATGACAGATATACAAATAAAATATCATTTAGAAATTCCAGTTAATGTCCTACCGTGATATGTCTTTGAAAAAAAAAAGTTAATGTCTTACCGTTGGATTTTTCATTGCAATGTACTATTTTTTTATTCCTTTATATATTATAATTTTTATTAGGAGTTTTTGTTATTAATTAGTTGTATTTATAATTTTTATATTTAAAATATATTAAACAAGTGAACTTGGTAATCCATATAATTTTTGTACAAATTGCTCATTATTTTATCGCAAAATTACCTATTAATTTATCTATTGAATTACATTTCTTGCACTTACATATTACATAGCAAAAAGTATTATTGTATATATATAAAATATGCCATTAATATATTATATTAAAAAACTAATAGCAAATAAAACGTTATTTAAAATCAAAATAATTAATTTCTAAGAAAAATAAATTTCTAACCTTCATGGATAAAAGTATAAGTAACTGATGTCTATCATCTAAAATTTATATACATCTATAATTACTTTTACTAATTATAATATTTTTATTTATTACGTTTTTCATAGTTGTTAGTAAGTGTTACAACTTTATTATAAATTTAATATTATTTATCAGATTTAATATTTTTTACTTTATATTGTTCTTTCATATGTTTTAATGTGCGTGTGTGTTTGCGGGTAACTTTTCGGTTTGTTCAAAAATATATAAAATTAAGTATAGCACTTTTTAGGTCATATGTCTTATTTATATCATTTTCTTTTACATTTTTATATTATTTATATATAATTATAATCTTGTCATTTATACTCAAATATATAATTTTTTTATTTCGTACATTTTTTTTTAAAAACCATTTTATTGTAATAACACATATAAATAAATAAATGACTAATGATAATATATGAATATAATTTTTTGATAAAAAAGTAATTAATTTTCAACATGTAGGCATATCATGATTCTCGAGATATTTTTAATTAGTTTGTAGATAATTATATGGTCAAAATTAATCCATATTGCTAAAGTGGTATCTCATTAGACGTGAAAACAGATTGATACAGTTTTATTATTATACAATTTCATAAAATTGTTGTGATCTTATGTAGTAAAAAAATTGAATAGATTAGAAGTTTATGTGCAGAACAATCATTCAGCAATTAATCTCGCATACTATTACACATTTTTTATAGATTATTTTGAAAATAATGTTTCAATATCTTGTGGTTGTTATGAGAAAAACATCGATTTTTAGTTTTATAAGTGTTTTGAACAATTAATTTCGCATACTATCACACATTTTTTATAGGTTATTTTGAAAATATTGTTTCTATATCAAACAGTTTTAAAGATATGTGGAAGAAAACAATTTTATTTTAGGAGTGTGGAATGACTTGTTCATGTATTTGCATTTAATTAAATGATATTAGTTATTAATTAATAATATAAGATCTGATGGCATTGGTATATTACCAATTTGCCATTAAAAACATGTCAAAGTAAGGATTTTTTAGGTAGTTCATTTTTAATTAAAAATATAAATAAAATATGATGTGTATTAGTATATTACTAATTTGCCATAAAATTTATGTTAAAGTAAGGATTTTTTAGGCATTATGAATTTTTACAAAAACACTCCTCCTTTTAGAGTAGTATAGATAGATAGATGTAAGCAAAACTAGACCCAATGCATTGTGGATGCTCTAAAGTATTGCTGAGATGAGGGCTGAAGAGCTGCACAACAATAATTTGCGAAAATAATTCTCTTGATCAATGCGACTGCAGAGATAGGGATAGTGATTTTAGGGTTACTATTGTAATTTAAGACAATAATACGGTCTGGACTATTACTATCACACCCAATTTGTCAAACAGATGAGGGATATCTTCCTAGGCCCAGGTTTTGTCCCATGTTTGCATCATAGAACAAACAATGGATTAGGCGGTGATAAATGTCTTGATCCCATCCTATCACCCCAACCAAAAGAGCCCCATAAATATAGATAATCCTTTCTTTGTTTGCTATCTATACTTCGATTTGTTTTTCCCTCTGGAGATATATAATCTGACAACTAGATACAAAATGCAAATTCGTCTTTCGATTTGTTTTTCCCTCTGGGGATATATAATCTGACAACTAGATACAAAATGCAAATTCGTCTTGCATAATGACACTGGCGTATTCTCTTAAAAGGTGTGGGAGGTAAAAGCTGCTGATCTGACCATTAGTCCAGTTCATCGTGCTGCCAATGGTATTGTGGACCCTGACAAGGTACCACTTTATTCTCTTTCAAAAAGAACACAGTAGTCTCCTTTCTGCACTCCTGACCTTAGACATTTAGAAAATTTGATTGTAGAAGCAGTTTTCTTGGGAGGTGACCGGCTTTTGTGTGTCTTTACATTTGATTAAGTGTCTAATATTCTTGTGTATTTTTTTCTTTCTCCAATAAGGGAATATCATTACGATTTCCACGATTACTTCGTGTCCGTGAAGATAAAAATCCAGAGCAGGCGTCCTCATCCGATATGGTAATTAATTGTTTGCCATTTTCTTTCTTACCAGTCAAAATATTCTTCTAATTATCGTTAGCATACTCCTTTTGATACTCAGTTTCAGTTATTTTTTTTTAATATTATTCTTTGAATTTCAGGTTGCGGATATGTACAACGCACAGAAGCACGCCCAAAAAGACAACCGGGATGAAAATGAGGATGATTGAGTTAGATAAAGCTGTTGATGTGTGGAAGTTGGAGTCCCTTGTACATATGTGACAGAGCGTTTGTTCACATAAGTAAGTTGATTTGCTTTTTAGCAATAGAATTGACGGCTGACAATTGCCTTTTCATTCACATGGGTATGAATTACGTCTCATTAAGTGAAGTCAGAAGTTCTTTAATGGGTTAGAACCGAATAATATATGTTGGTCCATTTTGTCTGAAGTGGTATTTTTGTAATATATGCTGATTCAGTGGTGTTTTTAATATATTGTTTCCACTACCTGAGAATTTGGAATTTCAAGAGAATCAATGTTTAACATATTGTCTTACCTAAAGCTTAACTAATAATTGCTAATAAAGATCGTTTAAGCAGGGAAACAATGCTACCTCTGCTATGTATGCAGCTCATTTTCCTCCATTTGTTTGTGATCTCACAAGTTCAGAAACTTGTGCTATTTTAATTCTCTTCTTATCATCTTTTGCCTATGAAGAATGATCGCTGAGAAAGACAAGAAAAAATAAAAAGAACAGAGTGTCACTCTGAAACCAAAAAAAAAGTGCATATAGTGTGAATTTTAGAAATACTGGGAGTTGAAATGAATTCTTCGTATCAAATGAATATTATTCAGTTTAATGTTATTCTTTTCCGAATTTTCTAATCATTTGTTTGAATGGGCAGATAGCAAGCTGTGTACTGCAGATTGATTAGCAGTGATGCTGATTCATGCTTAGAGATAAAGGTTTGGGCATTAGGCTGGTAAGCGCATGAACTATAATCGACCTCATATTCAAACTGTTCTAAAACTTCGCATCCATTTTTTTTTCTCTGCCATTTGTACTGTCCACACTGTAACCATTATATATTTTTCGCTCTACTTACTATGTTTGAATGGAAGAACAGTTATGCAACTAACAGCTTGTGCATGAGAACTTGCCCGCATATAAGTTTTTCATAAATTAGCGTATCTTTGTTGAATTGGGCTTTTGCAATTTAGGGTGGATGCCAACCGCCGCTCGTCTTGATCAAATTTCTGATCCACTTATTATATATGATTGTATTCTGACTGAATCCTTTTGTCTTCAATTAGGTGAAATATATTGGCAATCTGAAGTAAAAATTGTATATTTAGCATAAAGGTAGACCTATTTTTTAAATATATATATATATATATATATAATGGGGGCGGATCAAATGAGGCTAGCTCTTAAAATGAGACCAACTCTTAAAATGCGGACACTAACCTTGCACAATCAGGCAACTCACCTAGCAGCATCAGACAACTAACCTAGCAACTGCAGAGACTGTATTTTCTAATTTTTTCCAATTGGTACATAAAATAGAAGTTCAGAGCATTGTTATGAAAAAAAAAAAACTTCGAAAAATGAGTCTCGATTGGGGAGATATAGAGGTTTAAAAATACAAAAAACGTACTTTTTTTCTTAAAAATGAAATTAAAGCAAGAAAAAGGTGTTTTTTTGAAAATTCGGGCGGCCAACTCGCCTTCGGCAGTTTGCAGCTGCGTAGATCTTGTCGAGCTACCCCAAATCAAAAAAAAAAAAAAAAGAATTTCGTCCAAGACGGAGCTTTTTACGCAAAGTTATGGCTTTTCAAAGTTTTGCTATGTGACCTTGCAAATTTTCATCATTTAGTTGCAACTACAAACAACTAACCTAGCACCATCAGCCAACTAAATTAGCAGAATCAGACAACTAACCTAACACCATCAGATAACTAACCTAGCAAATACTAACATAGCATAATCAGACAACTAACCTAGCACAATCAGACAACTAACCTAGCACAATCAGACAACTAACCTAGCACAATTAGAAAACTAACCTAGCACAATTAGACAACTAACCTAGCACCAACAGACAACTAACCTAGCAACTAATGATAACTCGACATACCATCAGAAAAAAAGACAAAATGCTCTCCCTTCTCTCTAGGTTTCTCTCTCTACAATCCTGCCCTTACTCGTCGCCGTCCACCGCTTAGCCATGTCTTCGACAGCCTTCCCGGCGTCGCCGCCCCTCACGGCGCCGGAACACCTACCAGACGCAGACCATACATCGAACACATCAAACCCTCAAGCGACCATTTCAAACCCTCCTGTTATTTTTTCAGAACTGGAATATATCATTAATAATTTCAACTCAGTAGATGAGCAAGCTAAGGTCTTGCCTCCCCAAACTCTATTTCCCGAATCAATCGAAGCTACTACTGTTGGTACTATCTCAAGTCACTGCTCAAAGAAACAGC